TGTGAGAACAATTTGACTAATCTGAACAGAAGTGACCACATCTAGCCACCATCATATGAACCATAAGATCCACAAAAATGTCCGATGATTGATTGTTCCTTTCGGTACCGGACAGTGGTGTGCGATCCCTCAGAATGATGAGGAGCCAAGCTTTGTGCCTCAACTTCTAGCTCCCTTCGATGCTTGGGTCCATTGTGACTTAGAGAAAAGCCGGTACCTGCCTGAGTGACTTCATGTCTGATGAAATTCATTTAAATCACTACAACTCTTTGCTCGAATGTGCTATAAAGCAGAAGTGTATTAACGGAGAAAGGTCTGAAAATTGTTGCTCGCGATCGAATCCGTCGATTCTCTGCGATAACGCATTGGAGAGGTGGCCGCGTTATATCACAGCTGACTACTTTGTTACGTCTGTCGGCGGTATGTATTATGTAGCTCAGAAGCTTAAAGTTCTGCTTACAAACTGTGCGAGGTCGAGCACTGCTAACCACTTTCGAGAGGATGGAGCAAACTTTCAGTGATTTCCCGGACGTATAATGACTATTTCATTGGGTCTAATTGTGATGTAGTCTTTTTGCACAATACCCCACAACGATTGGAGGAGGTTAAAAGGACGAAAAACATAAGAGTCAATAATCACTGAATGGGAGCATTAAACGTCGCTCGTCGGGGATCACCTGCCGTCTAATACGCAAATGTGCCATGCTTAGTGATGTTTGTGATTATTGATGTTGCTACCGCGAAAGATCCTCATCATGAGAGACGACACTCACCGAGGTGCTTCTCTGCAGCAGTGTGACGACATGCACGTAGCTAACGTAAGCAGTGCATTTGCAAAGTAAGACCAACCGATCAACTGGAGGGTTGGTTGCCAAATACCACTTAGTGGATTTCAGTAGTGGTCACTCGATATCATCACATAGATGAGCAGTGCTTCGAAAGTGCCTGTGATCAAGACAATCAGTCAGGGTAGGCCTTAAGCTGTCAATGGCTCTGCCTCTGTTTTGTACGATGATAATAATAGCAACATAACTTGGTCCACCGGGTGTTAGTTCATTCGTCTGAAGACACTTATGAATTCGAGGAGCCAGATGGGGTTGTTGATGAGCATAATGATCGCTTCTATGAATAAACAGATGAAATAATACAGCCAGCTGCATGAGTTAACAGAACGACCGCCTCCTGCGATTGTGAGAACTGACGGGTATCAGACACGCATTGTAGAACCAAATCGTGTTTGAGGGTCTTAAACGCAAACTGAGGTAAATAGCGCTTGGTATAATCTATCTAGCAGAGCTCGTGAAGGACATCGGTCCGACTCCAGAAGAGTTAACTGTAGGCGTGTTAGTCGAGCTCCTGGCATAACTTAAAGGCAGCCAGACTATTCATTCGTGATTACCTGGATTACCAAATTGGAAAGGGGAGAGTTGACGTACCCCCGCCAAAGTTCATTTGACAGTGCGGGACTACGGGAGAACGTTATTCGAACTTAACTGACATGAAATAAGTTGTAAAGAGATTAAAGACATAAGAAATTGCAAGCGCTCTTAAGGAATGCGAAGCACTACAAACGGTGGCGAGTCCTTGACTCGAAGGGATCAGTTGCTGGGCATCGTCCATGGTAGGTGGCATCTACAGCGTTGATGACGTGCCACGTGATGGAGCGCAGGTCTCTGATTGCTGCATCTTTCCGCGGGGCGGAAGCCAGCCTAGTTCTGACTGATTCGACTCTCAAGGATGGGTGAGCCACTGAAGTCTGATGCAAGTAAGCAGTTCAGAGCAATGGCAATCAATAAAGCTGGTGCATTGATGATTTTGTACGGTATCCTATGTCCTTTAGAAAACAAAGATAACGGTAATCAGTCTGAGGGAATTTCTTTACGTTATGCAATGTTAAACTGAACGACCAAACCAAGCACAAGATAGTCGGTATTGTCTGCAGTGATGCGGGAGGCGGACAGGTCTAGGTAATGTGTTTCGCCTGAACATCGGGGCGCCACCATGATGGGGGTTGTCAGGTTAACACTCCAGGCGGGTTCGGCCATCGAGTTGTGCATTGCTCCTGGTAGGATGGCTGTGATAGTATCGGCATCCTAATTAGAGTTGGGCTGTGAGGCGTTGTATGTACCGCTACCCGCGTGCATTTATAGTAGTCAAGAGGACTCAGGAGGACCACTGATTGAGAACAAACTAGCTTCAACGCAGGGTCAAACAAGGCCGGGAGTTCCACACTTATACACCTTTATTCCTATTGATCTAGTCCGTTCCTCGTTTTGGCAACCATGAGAGCAATCGGGAATGGTAAAGTACCCTCTCGTGGTTGCATTGTAAGTTGGGATTAATAGGCGAAGCCACACGAAAGAAGATCACCAGTTAGGATGACAAACGTAGTAAAACTGGATGCCTAGGGTGCAATTCGAACAATTTGATTGTCTACTGGCCCAGTTAGATGACGTTCTCTCCCGGGAGCAGATCAACAAACAGCAAAATCCATGAGAACACACGCGCTTAAGCAGTCGATTACTAAGCCGGAAACCCTAAATAGAGGTACCGCCAAGTACAATCGAGCACAGTTCGACATAGATCCTGCGACAAGCATGGGCCACGTTCAAACTTGGGTTTATGAGTATCCCCCGTGGGATCAGAATGCGACACACAATCACTATTGGGATCTCGAATTACATTGAAGTAGACCTTCGTCATTCCAATCTGTAGGACCGTATCCGCTGCACCAAGCGGTGCTTATGGCTTGGTGATCAAGGTGTCAGCCATCACTCAGTAGGTTCCGAATTCCATTCCCAGCTCGGACTATCAGTACTTGCTGATTTCAAACGAGGACGAAAACAGGTCGAGGAGTGTCACTGTTGGGAGCGATCAACATCGAAACCTCTCCGCCACGGGCTACATCCTTCACTGTGTTGTGAGAATAACAGCGGGTCCGATGAAATCAGGGCAAGTTGATTCACAAGACAATTCGTATACGTTCACAAGCAAGTTGAGTGGTTTTAAACTAATGAAAGAGTATCGAATTGAAGCTAACTCGTTTGATAACCAGAATCAGTTTTTGAATGGATGGCTAGGGTGATGAATTGCACCAGTCTAAAGTGAACTAGAATGAATTACGCATTAGACGGTGGTGGGTAACTTGGTTGGACGACCTTCAGACAATGGCGCGCAAATCATCACTATGACGGTGATGTGTTGCAGTTAACCCTTGGGCTTGTCGAAAGACCAAGCTCAACAGAGGTAGGTAAACGGATGAGCCGTTAGAGTGACGCGTTAGTCAGTACTATTCGAGGCACATAGCATAAATGGGGTTATCACGTGTGCGCGCTGTGACTGCATGAAAAGTTGCTGTCAATGCTCGTCACTATTAAGAATACCGTAACTGGGACTGTCAAGCGGGGTGGTCTGACGCGTGAAGAGCTGATGGTCTTTCTCTGTGACAACTAACATTCAGGGTACAGAGCGCAGTTGTGTACAGACAATGGATCATGCGTGGAAGGCTGTGACCACGGACAGTATAGAAATCTGATATGTAACGAGGTGAGCATGATAAAGTATACACAGATGAAACTCCTCAGCGGTCCCGATCCTTAGACTACAAAATTGATTTCAGTGCTGCCGGCACACTTGGTTAATATCGGACGGAAAGCCCCGTTTAGTCCAACACAGCGATTGTAACTATTACACGAAAATGGATAGCATCTAAGGGGTTATCACCAGCGCGTACGCGAAATTCAAACTTACAATTTGAGCAGTCACATCGTGACAGCCCCGGGAACGACCAACCGCATTCTTTTCTTGTACTTGGTCGGTAACATTATTGAGGCAATCAAGGGAGTAACTCACGGTCGAGCGAGTATCAGTCGTAGATGTATGCGCAAGGGGCCAGAGAAGGACCGTTGATGGCGTCGTTTAAACTGAGATGTTTTGTTGAAGCAGCTTTTTCGTGCATTTTACTTAGTTGCTTTCCTCGAATCCTAGTGTTGCGCTCATTCAATGAAGTCTTTTGAGAGCTGTCATTTTCTGATTCGCTGCACGCATAAAACGTAAGACCCACCCGCTTGCCATATACGCTCATGCATTCTACACGCATCTCAGGTTACCTTAGCACTATGTGGCTGAAGTTACCATTGCGTATTTTAACGTGAAATTGTTATGGCATAGTGACTGCATTGAGGTGTGTGTGCGCGCCAACGCTCAACGGGTACCTTGACAATTCAACTAGCACTACTGAGTGGCATTGCAGTGAGTATTTCCATCTCTCACCGAATTCGAAGTTTATGTGGCCAGCGAACACCAGGTGAGAAACAAGCTACCACTACGAAGAAACGTTATGCATCGTGTTACAAATTGCATGGAAATCAGACTGGCCGCATAGGTGCGTTTGTACCTCACCAATAGTATCTTCTGATATGCCACTCGTAAATTGGGTACGACACTCGTGTAATCTGGAGCACCACTGGTTAGTTTCCAGGTGCTGGTGGATATGTAGGTGGAGTAATGGTTAAGAAGCGCACGCACGAGCCGAAAAACATAACAGCACCACATTTAGGTTTGATAACTGGATCAATCCACATACCTACATTTGCTAGACAATGGAAAGGGGCTAAGCTCAGCGCCAAAGGCGAAGTTAAATAAAGAACAGACCCTGGAAGAACTAAACTTTCCATCAGGTGGGTGATGCATTGCTGTGGATAGTCTAGTTTGAATAACAGCAAGATTCGACGCAGTTTGAAAAACAATTGGTGGACCGGACGGATTTTGAGGTAATTTTGCCGCACTGTTTTCGCTGTGCATAGTTCAATAGTGGTTCGTAAACGTAACACCTGTTACTTGCAACTCCTTGAAGTGAAAAAAGGTTTACAAGAAGGATGCGGTAGACACTGTCAACGGCATTAAGCACGGTCAAAGTAGGGGCAGTTAGGCTATCGTGGAAAACAACAGTCGCGTGCCGTACTTGCTGTACAAACGGAATACCCTGTTTTTTGTTTCAGCTCGTCAAGTATACCAACCGGTGAACACTGAGTATACACAGCTTTTCGAGTCAGATTCCGCACCGATGAGTAGCGCCGTCTCCGGACTAGTTCTCTCTACATCTAATACCCAAATGCTGCGATCGGCATTCCAACTCCCGCTGCAAGTGCAGTTGGTGGCAGCAATGCCAAGGCGGGGTGGGTTTGTGTCGTCTGCTGAACGAGGTCCGGAGTCGGCTCCGCCTCTGCCCCCCAAACGGAACCCCAATGTTGCATACGCAGACGAACCACAGACCATAGAGGATGAGGAAGTGTCCAAATTGATGTCCACGGAAAATATGGTGACAAACGAACAGGAACAGGTGAGTCACCCGCGAAATCGTACAATACAGTGCATTTGTCGCAATGGTTCTTAGTGCAACGGAGTAATGCGTCTGTCACACGGAGCGAATAAAGAGCACTCTTGGGTTAATTCCAGATTATGCATGCCAAAATTGCTTTGAATTCGTCTGTCACATTGAGCTCCTCGTAGAACAGAGATTCTCGACTGTTATTCCCATCTCGTGCCGATACATTAGCTATTTCTTCGTAATTAAGGTTGGATGAGGTAACCTTAACAACTTTTGTGCACTCGTATTCACGAGTAAATAGTAGTGTTGTTGCTGATAAGCGCTGCAAGCAATACCTCACATCCGTGGTTCGTCACGTGACAAATGAGGTTCAGAGTCACGCGTTGTCAACTGAGCTAAGTGATTCATAAGATACGACGACCATGTGCATTGGTAAAGAGCAACCGCGGTTTCTCAACTGATAGAAGGGACAATATATGGTCCATCCGCTCGTTTTAGATGCGATCTAATGACGAAAACGTCAGTGCTATGGATGCAGTGCCTAGTTTTTTTCTCAAATGACGATCGAAACTCGACGATGAATAAACAGTCTTCGCAAGTGGTCAAGTGGAAGAAATGTTGATCACTTTGGCAGAAGGTCTTATTAATGTTTGTTAAGGCTTTCCAATGGCTTAATTCAACAACCTAAGCAACAAGGACAGGAGATCTCTTGTTTCCTTCGAAATTACCCAAGGACGGAAGGCTTTCTTCTATAGTATCTGCGTACTTTGACTAAGCACCAACGTATTGCGTCTGCTGAATCATATGACCGACGAATGATGCTCTTCGACTTGAGCCAACAAATATGAGGCTATGGTATTCATCAGTACTGTGATAACGGAGCAATCCGCTCAAACAAAAAGTCATTTCTATCTATGTCTGACATCGGCGACTGTACCCGTTGAGCGTGTGTGCGGCAAAAAGGACTGAGCAGCCTATAATCAACAACTGGTAACAACGGAGATGCCATCGTCCAAGCAGATAGCGTGCATGGGATTACTTGAAGACATGAACCTCTAAGGCATTTGCATAAACTCGTCAGATCTGCAGTGGAGTTTCGGAGCTGCTTTCTCCCAACACGGCACACCACGACCGACAGGTTTCGTCCTGATTTAGACTCGTCAGGTAGAGACAGCTTGAACTGAGAGGGGAGCCCAACATAGTGGTTGACGGCTTTCGTCTTGGTTACAAAGCCAGAGCTCCACAGCAGCGCTTGACCCAATTAGAGCAAACAGGTGATGGCAACATGGCTCATCTATTGTGCGAATCTGACTAGAAAGAATACTTAGAGCGTACCCTGGTCAAGACTGCAAACCCTGGGTTGACACCGATCAATTGACTAAGGCGCGCGTTTTGAGCGTTTTAATTGTGGTTGTACCGCCCCCGTTTGTGGTTCCTGGTTTTGTGAAGCAGATTCTCCGTCCGTTTTTGGGTCAGCAGCAGTCGCTTTTCGATCCCGCTCATGTGGTTCGGTTAAGCGTGGTCGGGTATGGTCGAAATTGCGGCGCACCACACGGTCGTCCTTCAGCTGTAACTTCGCTTTATTACTCATTGATGACATGAATGCAGCAGGTTGCCAGCTTGTTTCCTGAGGCAGTCTTGTGTATACCGGATCAAAATCATTGACATTTTCTCTGCCATCTTTCTATCCCCACACATTTTCTCCTGCTTTTCCTCCATTCTTCTTTGAGGGTTCGGAAAATGTAGGTACAGACTCGTTCGTAATGGCCGACCAAACATTAATTCCGCGGGTGACTTCCCTGTCGACTCAGTCGGTGTCGTGCGACAAGAGAACAGGAGAGGCTCCAACTTAGTTGGTAGAGTTCCATGAGTCCACTTGAGGAGAACTTTTTTAACAGTCTGAATTGCACGTCCTGCCATTCCATTCAATGCGGGATGGTACGGCGCAGGCCTAATATGTTGTATTCCGTTGTTACTCAGGAGCTGTTGAAACTATTCACTGGTAAATGGAATTCTGTTGTCGGTGCATACCGTCTCTCGGATACCGAAAATGATAAATATGGAGCGCATTTGCGCAACCATTGCTGCGGAAGTCGAATGTGGAACTAGATGTACTTCTATTCACTCAGAATGGGAATCAATCAGAAGTATACACATCATCCATTGATTGGGCCAAAGTAGACCGCGTGTACCCGCTGCCACGGCCTCTCCGGCCAACGTCATGGACGTATCGGACCAGGAGATTTTTGCCTTTGGTATTTCTGACATTGTTCGCAGTTTTTCAGCAGCCGTTCTATATCCTGGTCAATGTTCGGCCACCAACAGTAATCACGTGCCAGCGCTTTCATCCTATTCACGCCGGGGTATGCGTCATGCAGCTCTCTCAGCAACTGGGGTTGTAGTTCTACTGGTGGAACTATGCGCGAACCTCGAAATATACAGCCGTCGTATAGACTCAACTCATTACGCAGACAGTCGAATGGTTTTAGTCCGTCTGACGTGTTTATAGACCATCCGGTCATCAAGAACCGTTTCACCATTGACAACACAGGGTTCCGATCAATCAGGCGCCGCACCACATCACTCCGGATGGGTGTCTTTTCAAGCTGCTGCATCAAAGTAGTAAAAACCATGGGTTCACTATTCGTCTTTGTGCCGTGCAGCTGCGGGAGGCGAATAAGTGCATCGGAAATGATAATAATTAGTCCGTTTACATACTGAAGTTTATAGTTATAGGCGCTCAAAGTAGGGCGAAGACATCTGTCGGATTCCTTTCTCCTCACGCAGAAGCGAAAGAAGTGGTTTTTAATCAGTGTGGATATCAAACTGTCTTACCCAGACGAATTGGTGAAAATGCTTGACTCCGAAAACAATCGGTAAGGCCTCTCAGTCCAGTTGGCAGTAATTCTTTTCAGCGGATTGCAGGGTACGAGAAACAAAAGCGATTTGACGAAGAGAACCCTCATCCGTCCGGTAACGAAGGACTGCGCCTAGTTCGCGTGGGGAAGCATCATACTGTAGCACTAGATGCCGGCTTGAATCAAAATGCACGAGATACGGGGAGGTGCTGAGCACTATTTTTGTATCTGTGAAGGCCTTTCTTTAACTCGGACCCCACGTCCAGGACTTGCGCTTGTGCAAATACTGTTAAGGCTTTAGGTAAGTAGCGACGATAGTGAGGAAACATCCCTTGGAAGCGATCGGTGTTCAGGCTCATTCTTGGGTTCAGGTGCGACAAGGATGGGGTTCACTTTGCTTCTAACACGTGTAATCCGTTTTTATCGAGGCGGTAACCAAGGTAACGAACGGAAGCTGAGAAAAACGTGGCCTTGGACTTCTTCAGTTTGAGTCCACTCGGTTGACGACGTTCGGGCACAGTGGATAGCGTTTGTAAGGGTTCATTATCTGCATATCCTGTAATTAGGATGTCGTCAAGATAGGTGAAAGTGGAAGGAATATCTGATCAGGTTGCCAATGATCCTTTGGAATATTGTTGGAGCCGAACTGATTCAGAAAGGCAAACGTTTGTGCTGGAACAGACCCACGTAGTGCATGAGCGAGAGGTCTCGTCTAACCCAATTTGTAAATACGCGTGACTGAAGTCGATCTGTGTAAACTTTTGTCCGCCTGCCAACGTAACATACAGATCGTCTATCCGAGGTAAGGGGTACTTATCCATAAGTAAACAACGATCAACAGTTACTTTATAGTCATCACAAATACGCACAGAACCATCCAGCTTCAGGACTGGAACTGGTGGAGCTCTCCACTCACTGTATTGGACTGCCTCGATTGTTCCTGCTAATTGCAATTACTTTATCTCGTCTTTCACCTTGATCATAGGGAATAAGGTAGGGTACGTGCTCTTAAAAAGCGAGATTGATTTCCAGCCCGTAATTTGATACTAGACTGATATCCGTGCAATTTTTATAGTTTCTCATAAGAACGTCAGAATATTTGTTGAGCACATCCTCCAAGCGCTGGTTAATGGACATGAGCTCCACTGTCTCTAGCGTAGCAGGAAGGCATGTAATCTAGTCGCGCCTGAGTAAGTTTGGACAATCATTCTTCATAACATATGCCTGTAAGGCCCGCTTCTCTCATGTTAATTTACAGGAACAGTGCATTTTCCCAGGACTGGTATCGGCTGCCCAGTGTACCTACGCAAAATTGATTCACAGGGGGGATAACTTGGGCAATCTTTTAACTGATGCAGCACTGATTATGGTAACTGAGGCACCGGTAACAACCGCCATTTTAATCAAATGGTCTTCTATCTCCAATTGCACAAGGTAGGGTGGGTGAACGCTACAGATGCTCAACATTGCGTTCCAGATCGTATTTAACTGGTTTTCTTTGTCTGAAGACTAGACAACATTCACGTGCCTCTTGGGAAAACGTGATGTCGCGGCTGTGCAAGCTTTAGGTCGGCAAACTCAGGTCAAGTGCCCTAATTTTCCACATTGGTGGCAGATACTCTGTTTATGACGACATTCCTTGGTTGATAAATGCTGACTTCCACATGGGTAACAGTTAAAAGATAATTGGAACCGTCCCGGGGTAACACCTTTCGGTCGACTGCATGATTCGTGTCTGTATGAGGTTGCGAGGAAAAAGCTGTTAACTGGACATTTTGCAGCTGCCGAATAATATTGCAGGCCTTCTCCCAGCTCATCGTCGTCTCATCACCCGACAACAAGCTTTCGCGAGCCTGTTCGTTAGGGATACCGAATATCAAGCACTTTAAAGTCATTGCCTTTTCGAACTTCGTAACTGGGATTTCACTATACCGACACTCTGGTAGGGTTTGCGGAATCCGCGCAATGAAAGCAATGGCACTTTCTTCAGGGTTATAATGCAAGATCGAGAAAGCAAACTGCGCAGTGTATGTGTTCAGTCGTAAACCCCATAACTTGTTGAGGATTTCTAGCGCACTGTTAACTGTCTCCTTCTCACCGACATGGAGAGTATCAAAATGTCTTTGACTTTAATCCTCCAGAAAATGTCTGAATAATTTAATTTTGTGGCTCTCTGAGGGTACCATGCTTGGTTGCAAGACAGGTAGTAGTTTCAAATAATTCAAAAAAGTGCGCTTCAAGAGGCTACAGGTAGCCGGTGTTGGTTTCTCAGAAGGAATATTCCAAACTAGTGTAGGAAAGTGCAACATCGCAGCAGTTTAATCTCGTCGTCAGAATGTTAAGTATAGCCCTTAGGCGATGAACGGAACAGAACGCGCAAGCGTAGTATGGAACCGAATTACTAAAAGCTTCCTGCGTTACAGTGTCTAGAAAATCCAACGAAATAAGGAAAGTAAGGCAAGATCATTGTCAACCAATCAGGTAAGTGCCTGGGTTCACGAATCGATAAGCAAGTGCACACGTAACAATTGGCTCACTCATCGTACAGGTAGCAATCAAGTTTGAGTGCCTATCCAACCGTCTAACTAGTTCTCACCGGTTCAGTTACGCTTGTGATAAAAGAAAGGAGATAAAGATCGACATTTTTCAAAAAAATGATTTGACTTCTGGATACCACACTATGGTTTGATTTATTAGAATAATGTGTGAGTTAATTGTGTTTGCCATTTTGTAAAAGCTCAGCTGTTTTATTCGAAACCGAATGTGCGTGAAAAATGAAGTTTGCACTGCACCAGTGACAGGAAAGTAAGGCACTCTAAGCTTCTGTATATGTCTTCTATACGTTGCCCACCTCTATGTCGTCCAAATTTGGTCCAGTACCTTCAGTAGTCAATTTATTGAGGTTATAGTGTACTTTTAAGACGTTAACAATGTCCGGTTATGGTCAAATGATTCGCTAAACAAAGCTGCAATATAGAATGCAAAATGAAAAGAAAGGCATCAGCAGTACGCCGGTACGTAGTATATACGCTTCGTTGCTGCGCAACTGCCACCAGTCACACGTGGGCTAAGGGTACAACGAGGGTTGCCCGGTCCCTAGCAGGTACAAACCCGCACCCTCGGATTACAAGGCAGGCATGTGGTCCTTAAGGCTACGTGCCGGCATATATAGACCGCATCGCTTTACGACGACGGAGGTCAACTTGATTGTTACGAAGAGCTAGAAAATCTGAATCCTTGGCCATTACCACATAATGGCGTCTATGGTGATGAGAGTAGTAGGAGTGAAAGAGTTGAGGTTCGTAGAATGGTGCTTAAGAATACTGTATTCCCTTTGAGCAGTTTGCAGAAATTGAATAGGGTTCATGGGTCCTGAAACACATAACTACCATGTAGCAAGCTACCCTTACAAATGAGCGGAAAGGAGATATAAAGGGTCTTCGCAAGTTTCATCGCGGTCACAACAAAGCAGACGTCTGTCAACCATCACTGGATGAGCGCCTTCCCTGACTCGGAAGGAATTCCAATTCCACAATCATGCGGTGCGGTAGTTGTAATCAACGAAGCGCATCGCAAACGCTAGTAGCAGAAGTGGCCGAGCGACAGTGCGATACGAAGCATCTTCTTACCATCCGCTGCGCAGTATTAGCGTGGATAGCGACTGAGGATGGGCAACGCGTAGCCGCACCTGGTGAGTTAGTCACGCTGGCAAATTCGAGTAGTTGTGACCCTGTGGCTTCAAGTACTGCAGCATAGGAGTGTGTTGTTCCAAAAAACTCTGCAGCGTGAGAAGCGCATGTTGTCGGACTGGAACAAGCATGCAAAGTTGTTGACTCACTGATCAAGCAGTACTCCACTATCACGCCAACCACTACGTAGATTGAAGGCCTCGTGAAAGAAACACGATGGTGCATGGTCAGTCAGATCATCGTAAGTTAATGTGTCTGCGGAGGGTTAGGAGCCATTATGTATCCAGTCAATGAGCATAATGGGCTTTAGGAGATGGATGGACCGTGCGAGGCCTTAGCAGTGATCGAGCAACAAGAATGAAGACCCGCTTAGATAATGAGTACAGCTGCTCTTGGCAGACAGAAAAAGAGTGGTTCATCAGGTAAGTCCATAACCTAAACTGAAGCTCCTCTCGGTCAGGGTGTATGAAGGACTGGATTGTAAGTGGTTTATGTGAAAAATGTACTACCAACGATAGGGACTGATTTGTGGTACGGAGCTTGCATTCGTTACGATCTTATTCGGACGAGTGACACAAAGTGAAAAGATATAAGGATCGACTACTGGTTTGGAGGTGAGACGAGGAAATCAATCATCAGACAACAGGATGTCACGTTCTTTGGCATTTCTAGACAAGCTTCATCCCGTGTGTGACACTCAATGGATAGAGGTGATATGACGGTAACGTCAGTGTTAACACTCTTGTCAGCTGTCCAGAGCTATCTGAACACATACATGCTGCCTGAGACCATAGATCGAAACGCTGAAAACCACCTCTACATCGAGGTTGGTTGTAATTCCGCTTCGTCTCCAAAACGAATATTTACTGCATGGGCTTCATCTTACGTCCCTTCCGCTGTAACTCGATCGGGGGCGGTACTACGGGATGGTAAAATCCAACTATAAGCGAGATCGTAATAGTACGCCAGGATCTGAGTGCGCCGCCTAAACTTGGAGGAACCGGCGCATAGATGCTGACGTGACAACTCAGTCACCCGAGGGCTGCGTCAATCCAGATACGCCGATATCTCTAGAGGTCTCTTATACCGTGGTTTATGCTGGATGTCGTGTGCGCTAAGCAACTAGAGGTGCTTGACAGATTACACTAGAAACCGATGGATTTGACATTGAAAACACCCAAGTACAAATGGAAGTGTAATGAACGTTAGGTGGATCACCATGTCCAATCCGATGGGAAGACAAAGGAAACAGGCTAGATGAGGTGAACACTCGTGACAGGTAGAAAGTGCTGAGATATCAGCAAGTCGACATAAAGAATTATCAAGTTCAAAGGCTCTCCTCTCAAGCTTATTCCGGGCAACATGATAGCAAGAGATCAGAAGTTGAATTAAGGATGACGGGACATAAAGTACAACATGTATTACATCTATTGTTGCTAATTTATGTTTATGAGTAGGTAGCCATACAGCCAACTGTCTTAGCGAGAGTACAAGTGTATGTGTCATCCGAAATTTTAGGGGAAACAAACAGGTTCAAAGTTCATGGACCCAACCAATGTTCAACGCCCGCCTCCCCCGCCGTACTACGTGAATCTGACAGCAGCAGCAACAGAGACCAGATCTTCTCCGGTGTTTGATCTCAGACGTCTGGAAGATGTTGCAACCATAATCACCCCAATACAACGCTCCTTATCCATAGTGGAGTGCAATTCTAATGCCAACAATCGATTGGAAGTCCCGGTAAGTTCGCAAGGAAAACCAAGCGCCAACAGCACAGAGAATAATATTTCAAGTCTGCAGGTCCTCACATGTTTTATGCCGGTTGGCAGAATGAAAAAAACCCAGAATGGCGTTCAATTGGTAGTATGTGAAACGAGTTGCATGGTACTGAATGCTAAAGTTAACCAAATGCATACCAAGGCATTTGTGGCGAGTAAGGCCTACCAAATAAGGGTGTGCACAATTCTAGTGATGAGTGGTATGCACATAAATGTCAGCATCCCTTCGGGGAGGAGGTCGTTTTGTACGCTTTGTCAGCCACCAGTTCGCGAGATTGAGTGCGCTTTTCTCGACGGTATCCCTTGTGTAGCCGCTTCCAGATTTCGAGGCCACTTTTAGAATTATGCAAGATGAGAGTAACCTGACCTCAAAGTGATATCTTATCATCTGGTAGCAATTAAATGTAAATTATCGGCGAATTACAAAAACAGTCTTATCTGGAATGCAGCAAAATAATTCAGAATGTACACAAGATGTATTAGCGTCACGATTTCATTGAAATTGTCATCAAATTTACCGGCTTCAATAACCACAAAATCATCTGAATTGGTCAGGCCATATAAAACTTGGAATGCTTCGAGTCACTAGACCAGCATCATCAAATTACTCGTAGTCCTTTGAATGTCATCACCCGCTGGGGGGGGAGATACCGCCATATCAATCGTTGCAACACTTGGCGCGCGAGAACGCGGGAGTCAGACACGCTTGATCGTAACAAATCCAAGGACAACCAACCACTGTCCTCTGCACGGTTAATAACCTGCACGGCAGTGGAGGATGTGTTGGACCATATCGCGGTTAGGTCTCAATCCGTGATGGTCGGCTATCGTCCCCCACGGTTCAATGACATAAGCTGCTGGCTACTGGTGTAAGTCACTAGCGATCAGGTGGGCTCCCCCCCCCTCCCCAGCACGCGACCGAGGGAATGCGCACCAGTGACGAGTCCCACTAGGTCCAAATGATCGTCTGGTGCTTTCTGGATTGGTAGCTTATCGATGCGACTTGTAATTTAACTGCGATGAACCACATGGAAAAAGTGCATTCTCTGGCCATGATGCACCGGTCGTGTACAATGGGACTACTACAAATAGCAGGGGCGGTAGATCATATGACTGAATCAATCAAACAAGGGACGTTACCACCAAACCGATCGCGTTTTACCCAATCAGATTATTGAGAGGGGAGGGAACCAGAGAAACTTGTCACCCCATCTGATTAGTTTCACTGTAGACCTGCGACATGCACGCTGTGTTCAAAACTAATAACGTGTTAATGCTGAACAGAGGTGCGGTGGTAGTCTGACTTTAGGTAGCCGGGCAACAATGCCCTGAATGAAGACGGGGAAAACCAGAGCGAGTAAATATGCAGCTATGCCAACGAACAGATCGGAGAAAACAACCGGTATCTGGGCTGACGCTTAACTGGCCCGGTGTCATTCAGTTCCATATAGGGATGATAAACACAAATATGATTAATGGTGGATGTTTGTGAGTAGTGTAAAGTTCGAAGAAAGTAGAAGCCACGATTAAAATTCACGCACAATAATATGCCTCGACGGGGAGTCGAACCCCGGTCCACGAATTTCCGGTCCGTTGCTCTACCACCTGAGCTACCGAGGGCTGACGATTAGGTGCGCAAATTTTAACACATGTCTTCTGCTTGGTGTGCGACGTGTTGCCAATAAGTTTACAGTACCTGTCCTGATGTTGCAGATTGGCTCACTCACCCGTCACTTCCCAATAGACCGAAGTTCCTGTCCTTCAGACGTCCAATGGGCGATGGTAGATTAATGGTGGATGTTTGTGAGTAGTGTAAAGTTCGAAGAAAGAATTTTAATCGTGGCTTCTACTTTCTTCGAACAAATATGATTATCGAGTAGTCATGTCCAAGCGCGAGAACGAGTAGAGTTGCTACAACCTGCTTGCATTGAGGTACAAAGATAGTAGGGCTTTGGCCGTCCGTCAGTCAAATGCCCCACAGCACACCACCACTAGCGAGGTTCTAAACAATACCAGGTTGAAGCATATCTAGGAATTATGTCTGTTCATCTGCACAATGAGCGGTCCGGTCAGGAAATCCAGCTTATTATGGAATTGAAAGTGTGCTTTGAACCTATACTGCGTACTGCGGCTGACTAAAGGATCAGCAGATCCAACTGGTCATTATGCAACTATTAACTCATAACACATAAACACTAACATGAAGCATTACTCCAAAGGAGTTCCACGATGCGTATTCAGTATAAATGTTGTTAGGACTCTCAAATGTGAATTCGTTGAAAGATTAAAGAAAACCCAACCACAGCGTAAATCTATCGTGTTAGAGGACCTGTAACTGCATGCTTTCCCTAGAATGTAGTTATATCATACATCAAGCGAAAATGGATCAAATTGCTGGCTAACACTACTTCGGTATGTCCGTACCCAGACATCTCTGTGCCACACACACACACACACACACAACTGGGAACTGACAAAACAAATGAACGCGCACCGGATTGAGCAGAACTCGTCACTGGTTGTTCACAACGGCCATAAAGACTTGTTCCACTCTTCAGGACTAATTCCATACCTTAGTAGAGTTGCAGCGACTATGTTAGCTGCTTAAAATGCAAGCATAGATATCACCAACGGAGAGATGTTGAGGACGATATCGACATTGACCTATCGATAAGTTCACTCGGTCGTGTACTGACTGCTGCTTTTAGGTCCGCGTCTTGCTGGTGAGGCGCAGACACAGTGAGCCTAATCAGCGTATGTACTGTTTACGATTTCTTATCTATCCAAAACCCAGGGGTTAACTTAACCGTCGCAATGTGTTGGTAATCACGATAATATTGGTGAATGAAAACACAACCCCAAAGTTTTGACAGAATATCAGTAACTGCGACGAGACATCATCTCTCAACTTTCAGAAGCAAGGTATGAGAAGATATGTGCGCCCAAGCACCATCAATCTACGGCACTATCTCAAACACCGTGGTTATGCACTAGAAGAGTTGATCGTGACAGAGGAATTTGACTGGAAAAAACTAGTGACTCCAACGTCGAATTGTTTTCAGTCCGTGTTTGTGCGGTGGTTCCGTACAAGCTTCAATCGAAATTCCAGCGAAAAGACACGAGGAAGGAAGTTGGCAAAGGACGGTTCCGTGTCCACATCCTCGGAACCCGGTAGTGACTGCGCCCCATGCCGAACACCGGAATTTCGGGTTATCATGACAAATACTAAGTGTGAAGGGTTTTTGTTTCTTTGGCACTCGAACTGCAGATCCGCACGACACCGATCACCGCCTTGGCGTTCGATGCGTGAAACTGACCACACAAAATTGCAAGGTGAACGACAGAGCCGAACCTCGAAGAACTGGCGTCAGAAGTGGTTTATCTGCGATCTGGAATATCGAATACTCTCCTACTATGACGATCAAGGTGCAATGAAGCAAAAAAGTGAGTAACATCGTAATGGCCCCAGTGAAAACTTGTGAATTAGCAGGTTTCTCAAGAATGAATTTTTACAGCAGCTGACCAGTGTGACGATAAATGATGTGGGCCACCACAGTCCTTGAGCGCCCCGTGCCGAAAGCATTAAGTTAAAACAAATCCCTTCCAGATGTAGGAAGTGGTCAGAAATAACATTCAATAATTCCTGGATAGGGGACGAAAGGCTCAACATTGTGATGAAAAATTTATTATTCAATCTGTGAATCGCGATTTCACATCCTAAGTGACAATCATAACTTTTCTTTTCTATGCGACCTCGTTCCCCACATAACACCAATAATCCCAACGAGAAGCAGGATTAAGATATTTCGATGTAATAGCATTGGAGGAGCAGCTACCGAAACAATACAAGTAGTGTGAACATCCATGCATATTCATAGTGTAACCTAAGGGTTTTCGCCTCTAGAACAGCTAGGCCAGCTGCTAAAATCAATAGTTTAGATCTGAGCTAACCATTGTGGTGCTAGGTACTTGCGTCGTGTGACAAACGCAGTTGCCTCGAACATTTTAATGCTTCTGTTGAGTATTATTGATATAAATTTTTGCCGTATCAAAACAATGGATTTTATTGGAAGATTTTGCTTCTACCCGGGCAGCCGCTTAAGCTAAACGATGAAAGGCTAGCACAATGAACACTGATTTATCACGCGATAAAAGCAAGTGCTTGACACGTCCCGTAGGATGGTTGGGGTGAATACGATAAAATGAATATAAAGCATTGAGTTCCCTTTATCATTCTAAATAAGACAATAAGAAGACTGGTATTGCGAGATGGTACCATTTCGTGTTATCTGTTCACTCGCAAACTAACAACAGATAGATGAATCACGTGACAGAAAAAATCGAAGATTTGAAACTGGTCACAAGGGAAAAATTACGTAGACACAACAATGACAGATTAGCATCCTAATCTTAAGGTCATGAGCCTCAAGGAAGCTTCAGGGAGACTGTTAGTTGTTTTTGCACGCATAGGATAGGACGATGCCGGTTAAGTGCAACGGCTTCGGCAAACCTCAACACTTTGGGGTTGTCATTACGATAGATAACTGTAAATGTTGACCTGGGGTCAACCTGATGGCCTGATTCCAGTAGGTGTTTGGCGATCGATGAGGCCGGCATCTTGGATACCTTTTCTCGTTCGCCTGCTTCTTGTGTCGACAGTTTGGCAATCCATTTTGGGATATGCTCTCCAATGCGCTTACCCAACGATCGATCTGTTCTGCCAATGTAACTACTACCCGCAGTTACAAACGAATTGGTAAATGCAATGAGTTTGTGGCGGAGATCGGTTGAGTAGGCTTCACTGGAGGCAAAGGTAACTTTCTGGTCTCCCAAATGGGGCAGAATTTGGCTGCGTTGAATGCCCGCCGAATCGCTGTATGCACACGACCTTTCAAGTTGGGCAGCCACGATATCACCTTTGAAAGGTAATTGAAGGTAGACAGACACTTTGGGCCACAGTAAGTACCGTCGGCCTGTTTTCCTTCAATTGACCGTGGAATCGAATAAACGCTTCTGGATATCCGTTGGCTCGTAGCGTCTGTGTGGATAAACAGCAATTCCGATTCCAAACAGTCGTCAGTGCATATTCTGTGGGCTCGATTAAACAGCGTCTTGACTAAGCACCGCTTGTATTGTATAGGGGCGAAGCTGTTGAAAGTGTTCCATACCAATCCTGTCCATGTAGCTTTCCTGTGTACAGAACGCTTAATGGAGCCATCTTCTCGTCTGGTCAACAACACATCCAAAAACGGAAGGCAATTGTTATCCTCCAGTTCGCAGGTAAAACGGGCGTTTGGATGTGTGTTATCAAGCAAGTTGAGGAAAGATAGAACAGCGTCTCCACTTGGGGCGATCACCGGCATCGTCCTATCCTATGCGTGCAAAAACAACTAACAGTCTCCCTGAAGCTTCCTTGGGGCTCATGACCTTAAGATTAGGATGCTAATCTGTCATTGTTGTGTCTACGTAATTTTTCCCTTGTGACCAGTTTCAAATCTTCGATTTTTTCTGTCACGTGATTCATCTATCTGTTGTTAGTTTGCGAGTGAACAGATAACACGAAATGGTACCATCTCGCAACACCAGTCTTCTTATTGTCTTATTTAAAATGAATATATGTGGGTCATCTACCGAACGTATGTCTAGATGGAGACTTCGATAAATTAAGTCAGTGAAAAATTTAAAATAAAATCGATCGTAAACGTTCTGAAGGACACTAGGGTGCAGTGATAGTTGGTAGAAGGCGTGAAGAAAGTAAAATATGGTCACTCACATGGGTCCATTTGATACATAAATCCGGTTGAAAAGCATGCTTAGCGCAATCCACAATAGAGGAGTTAAGGTAACAAAATGCTGGGAGCTAAGAGCAACATTTAAACGTTTTTCGAAAACATCCAAGGTAGGGGAGCATACAACTGAGTCTGGGAGTGCGTTCCCGGGTTGGCAAACCCGAAGGTAAAGTAATTCCGTCGGCACTCTAGACGGCTATATTGTTCCTTCAATTTTAAGCAGTTACCCCTGAGCTGCGTGTTGTGGCTGAGCTTCAGCAAATGGCGGCATACGTGGTTGGGGTCACTCAGTATCTGATACGCTAATATGAGATCACCGCGCAGCCTTCGATAGCGTCCGCTGAAAATTCCCAGCAACTTCAGCCTTCGGTGGTAAGAGTGATAGCGCAGGCCCTTTACATTCTTTGTTGCTCTTCGTTGTGGTGCCTCTAACGCTTCTAGGTCGCGCTTCAACCAAGGTTGCCAAGCTTGGATTGCGTATTCAACATGCGGGCGCACGTAGGAATTGTGCATCATTGGGAAGATTGATGGGTCAAATCTCCCGAATGCCCTTCGCAGCATGCCGACGTGCTGGTTGCCTCTTTTCGCAGCTACCTCAGCCTGTTTTGAACAGTTGAGGTCGCTCTGTACGATCACACCAAGGTCACGTTCCTGGGAGCTGTTCTGCAATCCGTTTGTCCCAAGCAAATAGATGTAGTTATGTCTATGGCGTAATTGTACAACGCGACATTTGTCTACGTTGAATGGTAGGGCGTTTTGAACTGACCAGTTCGACACTGTGTTAAGATCGCACTGGAGCCGTTCGTGGTCGTCCGGTCCTCTGATCCTTCGCCATATCTTGATGTCATCAGCGAAAAATAGAAAATCTGAAGCTATTGATCTCGCCAAATTGTTAATGAACACCAAGAATAGACGAGGTCAAGAACCGAGCCTTGTGGTACTCCACACGCCACGTCCATTGTATCAGACAATGATTCTCGGACTCTCACCACTAGCCGTCATTCTTGTAGAAAATTGCTAATCCAACTCAGGATTGGGTCGCCAATGCCGTAATTCCGAAGCTTCTGAAGGAGAATGCGATGGTCTAAGCGATCAAACGCTTTTGAAAAGTTCGGTAGATGACATCGACTCCTACTCCATCATCAACAGCTTCAGTCCAGCTATTACGTGCAATTAATAGGTTAGTATTACACGAATGTTTTTGATGAAAGTCATGTTGCTCTGGAGCTATTAAGTTGTGGCTTTCCAGCTACTGCATCAGCGCATCTGCGATGATTGATTCCATCACTTTGGATAGTACGGGAAGTAGTGTTATTGGACGGTAGTTGGCAGGATCAGTGCGGCTACCTCCTTTATGGATAGGAGTGATGACCCCTTTGCTTCCATACTGGTGGAATACGGTTCTCTTTTAGACATCGCTGATAGAAAACAGCCAGTGGTTCTGCTAGATCACTAGCTACCGCCTGCAGAGCCTTTGGTCGGATGTTGTCAGCTCCGGGAGAACTGTGGATACGCAAGGATAACAACTTCTTCAACACAGCTTCCGCAATGATGTTTTCTAAACCAGATGGTGGAGTATTAGAAATGAGGAGAATGTTTGGGCTCGTTACCTGCTGGAAAGTTTGGGAGTAATGAAGCCGTACGAGATCAGCTGCTTCCATTGCTGATCGCGTGCACCATCAGCCGTGACTAGCGCTGGAACCCCCGCTTCACCTTTCGAAGGCCGTTAACGTGCCTGTACAGGAGTTTGCGGTTCGTGCAGAATCGCTTCATTAACTCCTGCTGATGAGTGACCTTGTCTTCGCGGATCAGTTTCACACAGAAGTTACGATGTGTCATGTATGCAGTCCAGGTTTCGGCATTCGAGCAGTCCTGGTGATCTCGCTATGCCAAATCCCTCCGGGACATACATTTACGTGTTCTGCTCCTCAGAAATGACTTATGCTTGTTTTTGGGTTGGAAGGACTTCTGTTCCGATGCGTGCGCAACCAGTGTGCTAAACGTCCTTGTGAAGGTTTCCCAGGCAACATCTGGGGGGGGATGGAGTTTAGAAAGTCCAAGATGTATCCTTAACAAGCTTAGATAGCACATTGTAGTGCGTGACAGTATGCACTTTATCATCCTCCTTTTCAGGGTACTCCGCATAGCATATATAGTCAAAGAGTAGAGTAACATGATCACTACGACCCAGTGGTGTGCTTGTAACTATCCCGTCAACCATGAGTTCTTCGTTAGTTAGCACAAGATCCAGTATCGACGGCTTGTTAGCAGTTCGAAATCTGGTGGGAGAGGTTACGTGGTTGTACAGAGGGTGGCTAGCAATTAGCTCTTGCAAGCAGGCTTTAAACTGCGTACCGTCGGTTGCCGGCGTTTCTATGTCGTGCACGTTAAAGTCTCCAGCGATAAGAATGTGGGTGTAGGACTTGTTCAAAGCAAACTGAAAAACGTGGTTCAGTTTGGAGTCCATTTCCGACGTTGAGTTTGGTGCGCGATAAATCACGGCTAGTAAACATGTGTCCTTGATTCGCAACCATAGGCGGCACCAAAGCGAATCAGGAGCTCGGATTTCCGGGTGATCGATAACTTCACATCGGAGGTTTGTATTATAGTAAAGAATCACACCGCCACCCATTCCGGTTCTATCGCTCCGGAGCAACGACGTACTGGGTAAATTGATCTCAGAATCGGTTATCTCAGGGTTTAACCATGTCTCTGTCATCATGACGAGGTCCGGCGGTTCTGAGGCATGGAGTTCTCTAAGTTCGGCCAACTTGCTTAGAAGGCCTTGGGCGTTTGTGTACATGCAAGATAGCGCTTTTGTTTTCAGGACTGCGTTGACGGATGTCAAGTTTGTGTTAGCTTTTTAGCTGGTCGTTAGGTGGCCGGCTATTAATCGTTTTTTGGTTTATGTATTTTAATTATGTTGCATGGCATTGTTAAGCGTTCCTGAACAGACATTTCACTCGTGCTGTGCTCTATCCTGTTGTGTGCCGTGGGCGCTGTTGTGTCGGTCTCTACGCAGGACTGTGCAGATAAAGAATTTGTAGCGTTTGCAAGTTCCATCGAATTGATTCCGACTTTTGGCCGTTCGCCTGCTGCCTTTAGCCGGATCTCTGTTGGCAACCTAGCTCGAAACTAACCAGCTATCCAACAGAATTTGCGTCATTCCCTCGGAGTGTAGTACTACTTTCAGTAGCCTTGGACCGCAGCCCTTGTAGTTAGGTGATGATGGAACTCTTGTCAGGGATTTGGCAATAACATTGTCAACAGAGAGTGCTTCGCGGATGTAGCATCACTGCTCTCGGTCATGTGTTTACGCATCGTGGTCAGAAGAATGCAGAAGCTCAGGAACACCATGAACAAATATTGTTTTCTTGTTGTCCCTATTAGCAATGTCGCTTTGCTCAACTGCTTCTTTTGGGCGATCTTTCTAAGGTAGATCAGGTAATATGCGCACCACTCAATGAGTTGCGAAGACGAGCTGCTGAGAGAAGGACAGCCTCTGTCTCATCTGCTGAGTCTAGTGTTACTCGAAGAATTCGAGGTTCACTAGAGTGCACTGAAGTCGGATGACGCGCTACACGTTGCAACATTGCAGGCACAACCCAAATACCAATCGCCTGGCAGATGGAACTCCACTGGTTGCGATCGTCTTGCAACTTGCCTTTTATTATGCCAGATTTGGATTCGGGAACATTGGTGCATACGAGAGTTAATGCAGCATGATTTTGTCTAGCGAATGTTGGCTTTATACTTTTTGCTGGCAATTCGGGTTGTTTAGAAGACACCAATGGAGTTGACGGTGAAAGCTGCTTTGCGCCACGCGTGCTCCGTACTGAAGATGAACCTATGTGTGTCGCTCCCGGTGTGTTTGTCGACGCAATCGATGCGTACGTTACCTGCTTGTTATCTGTGCCGGATTGCCTTCGGCTCTGAGCTGTCGGTGTCATGGCTGAATCTACAAGTGAAGTGTCTATGGTTGGAGAAGTGGAAGTAGGCATGTTTGAGGCCCATCCGCTTATGGGAGTGAGGTGACCCAGTGGATTTAGAATCACAGACGCTGCAGTGCGGTTGGAGCGTCTAGCTCTCTCCTTCGGCTTAGCTTCGGAGCTTACTTTGACTGGGTGAGGTATTATCGTGGCCATACTGACCTCCGTGGGATCGATCTTAGTATTTACAAAATGCGCGATTATCGCACTTTTTAATGAGGAAAGATAAACAGTTGACAACTGAAATGACTTGACATGTTGGGCAAAACCAAACTGTGTCAGCAAATTTGTTTGTCTGTCACACTTCTTGGACGGATTTGCCTACACATTGCGGACAGCATGATCTAATGCAGCTAGAACAGGTAATACTGATCTTAAGCACTTTACTGAAATTGTCTGCGCAACATAGGCGACATTGAACCATTGGAATGCTAGTCGTCCTCTTATTGTTTACAGCAAGGGCTGTCTAAGCGTTCACCTTGATGAGTGTTCTTCGGTAACGTAAAAATAATCGTAGAAGACATTATATCAACAGATTTTTCAGGTACTGAAATCCGAAAATGTAACGTTTGATGCTATGATCATGGTCACAAAGTTCGCCCGCCGCTGCTCAGAGAAGTTGAAAGCGTAGTGCTGATCGAGCTGGACACTGTTCAATGCTATTTGGCGCATAGAGAAAGTGCCATTAGATCATCAGTTATCCCCATCCTCAGAAGGACCAGTGGACATCCTGCAGATAGTTTGTCGGTTGCAACCACCCTCCAATGGTCTTCTTGGGAGTAGAAGAACTCAGAGCTAGGTTAGCCTCTTCCAGTGTAGAAAACAAGCTGGCCCCAAATTTACGCTCCGTGGGTACCGGAACAGCATTAGGTAGACCAACAGCTCATCATTACAGTGTTCCTTGAGTTGAATCCTGCATTTGATGCTACGGAAAGCAACAGTTTGCAGAGATGATTCTTCCCGGATGCCACATGGAGGGAATTCATTTGCTTTCTAGTATATGTACACTGTGAACTGCTGGGAAAGGTAGTGAATCCGAATTGATACAGTACTCCAACTCACGGGAGTGTCCACACCGCCCCGATATATACCAGATCACATAGTTCAATTACACAATTAAGAAAAAGTAAATCAGTTTGAAGTCGTCTAGATCAAGTCCAGTGAAATAAGTGACAAGACGGAGTTGATCAGCCTAGAAAGACACACATGCGCAAAAAACCGCGGCGAATAGCAACACTTGGTTAAATAATAAAGTAGTAAGAGTATTAATGGAACAGACCATTTGATTTATAGACGAGTTCATTAGAAAAAAACAGTCTGCGCACATATAAGTAAACAGGCATAAATACAGTGTTCTTGTATTGCGTTGCGTTTAAAAAGTAGCCAGATTTTCGGAGTAGATAATGGTAAAAATTTTACGCACTTTGCCATCCTCGTGTCTGGCAGACTGTATCCCGTTGTCAACCATTCAAACCGTCTTTGCTGCTCCAGAAATAAGTTCCAATTCATCCACACCGTCTATATCGCCCAAGCCCCGGTGGCCACATCGAAATGTGGATAACGGCACAAGAGATCCCGGTGGTCGAAGGTCGACTAACTCTGAGGCATCCACAAGCAGTCAGTGTAGGGCTAGTGCTCAGTGTGATGAAGCACACACAAGCAACGGGATAATGGAAGATTCATGGACCAGCACCATCTTCTGTATTGACTCCACCACGCGGTTTTATACACTGAGGACGACAAGTGCCAAATTGCGGAATATGTGGATGGCTGTGATAGATTTTGGTAAGTTACCGTAAACTGAAATGTATCTTGTGTCAAAAGTGTTTAAGTCCCCATTCAACAGTAACCATATTCAGTGGAGCGAGCCAACTGCGATTAAACGCAGTGAAAGAAACAATTCAGTGTCTTTTACCACAGCAATGTGAACCTTTCTGTGACAAGATAGTCAATTAAGTTTTGTGCTTCCTTTGACGTGACAACTACAGAGGCCGCTACTAACAGCCCTGCGCGGTTTAGGGTCTGACTAACAATGTGCGTGAGAAGCCACCGCGTAGAGTTCATGCATCGATGAGTGTTCTACCCGGCCCAGGTGACGCCAAAGCATTACACCACGTCGGCTTTTGCGTCCAGAAACACGGAAAAGGGATACACCGTGACAGAATAGAAAGGCACACAGACCCAGTGACCCTATACAACCTCATCAGAATGAGTAGCAGGTCAACGAGAGAAAATAGTGAAGAAATTTGTAATGAATGTGAGATGGTATAATGAGGTAACATCGCCGAGCAAGGTGTCAGAAGCCCAAAGAAGCACCTGCAAAACATGTAGCTCCTTCGCGTCTGCTGATGCGAGTGAAGCAGTGCTGCGTAGGTCAGTGTCGGGTGGAATCGGAGAGGACTGAATAGGGGAGTAAATCGCCCTTAGCGATTGATACGGTTCTCCACTCAAGCCACGCCGGTGCTCTTAAACAGTAAGCTATCTGCATAAGTCTAAGCTGCGTTTGGGCAGAGACAGCAAGCGCTCTGACACAAATACCAATTACTTAGGGCAGAACACATTCTGGAAGGAATTGAAATACCCTTATACCTTATGAGTTGACAACAGGGGATTTCGCAAGAGCTGTGTCCAGACGACCAGTGTGTCGGATAGTCACACCCACCAGGCCCCAGAGACTCCTTGATCTGGTGTGACCCATTAAAGGCACAGCTAATCATAGCCGATTACGACAAGCATGCCCAAAGGCGTTGTTGGAAGCCGCGATAACAGCGCTGCTCACTCTTTTGGGCAAACGAAGTGTCCATGAAGTGGGGTTATGTACAAGCGACCTTATAAAGTGTACTAATTAATACGAGTGTATGTACCGCAACAATTCAGTTTTGTGTGGCATGAAGTCGATGGCTTTGATAGATATAAACCTGACTCGCAATCGAAGTCGTTGTATCGTGCTATCGTTTGAACAATCCATTTAGTCTAAGACCATGCTACTCATGAGTACCACAAAATATACAAAAACGCACCTCACTAGCAAGCGCATTAAGAGGCCTATTCTGTTCTTCTTTTTGACCAGGGAGGCGGCGCGCCATCTCAACGTGATGCAATATCCCATCATCAACATTACACACGTTAGCTAGAGGTGGAAAACATCTCAGCTATTGTGCCGTAATATCCCCGCCAAACATTTGTACCCTTTTGTTTAATAGAAAATGACAATGCAAAGCATTAATTTTTATTCATGCGTGAGGACAGACAATAAAGGTAGAAATTGAGGTGATCTTGGCTAAGAGGTGAAACGATGTGAGTGCGGCGTTCCAGCAGCGACTTCACCATCATAACATCCGGTTTGGGACTATATTGTAGTTTACCGTGGATAAGTTCCAAAATCATCGCAGACAAACGATGACAACTGCAGTTGGTTAAATTTTTATTACAGGCAGATATTACCATAATAGATAAAGGAGAGAGGCAACCTAGAGGTAAGAAAAGCGGAGACAGTGAGCTAGGCCATAGTCATCACCAGCTATTCAATGGATAAGCAGCAACAGTCGATTTGCTTAGCAAAGACCGATGCCGAAAGTTGCTGTAAGAAAGGAGGGTGATGTCCGTGGTGCAAATTCGAACTCGTGACGGGTACCAAACAGAATGTCAGTGGGATGGGTCACTACTGTGACCTCTCCGTTTTCAGTTTGTACAAAGTAAGAAGTCCTTAATATGCAGAGCCAATCCTGTGAGATAACCGCGAAATTAAGAGAACACACTCCACAAATTCCCTGATGTGCCAGATACTTCAAGTGTAGAAGTAGTAGTAGGGGAATTTGGATAACCCAAAAGCTCAACTCCCACTTAGTGAAAAAAATTACAATCACTGACTCCAGCCTATCGCTGAATTGTAGCTAAGGAAAAAGAAAAAAGCGGATCACAGGCATGATCCAATAGGCTGCCAGGTAGATCGTAACCGAGTAGGATCATTTACTGTCAGCGGTGATCTAGGATAGTTGTGAAGTTCTCTGTGAAGAAAGGATTCAACTAGTTCGAACAGGTATGAAGAGAATGCCTGGGTCAACTAAGGTGATCATAGAACGACGGCACTATTCAAGAAGGGGAGTAGCAATGTATGGGCTTATAGTGGCAAAGATACTGATCGGATTCTCGTCCAAAGCTTTATTGAAAGAGGAGAAAGCAGGGTGAGGTGGACTAGCAGGATTGCGATCGGAGCAAGTGTTGTTTAAATATGATACAGTGTTACACGAGCTGAAATGTCTCTAGAAATAAAGAATGTGTTGGATGAAATTGATCCCTTCGTTTTGTTAATTTATGACCAATCGGAAAACTGGCATGGCTCGAGCACCATGAGATCGCACTCAAGTGTACGACGGAACGTTAAATACTTTGACAACAACTGGATTCGCAAAGGTTATTTTTCCGCCGTATGTATGTTCCATTTTAACGCAGGCACCAATATGGCACATTGCAAGTACGGAGTCTCAGGATTTTAGTAAAGAGATCTTGCCTATCTTAACCCTCTGTGTCCTGGAAGTACTTCTAAGTACCACTTTGTATAAAATGTAATATAACTCAAATGGAAGCGTTATTCCTGCCTGTACTTCCAAGGATACGTAAAATAACCTTCCGTCAACAATTAAGTAAGGGTCAGAACTGTGATACTTTGCTCTCTCTCTCCCTCTCCATATATATATATATATATATATATATATATATATATATATATATATATATATATACATATATACATATATATATATATATATGTTTATGGCGGGAGAGCCTATGGTGCGCTGAGATTGGTGGTGGCTAGATCCTGACAGATGGTCTACCTACTGCTGCTACAGTTACGCCATTGGCTCATGTCATGGACTTCTCCTCGTGGCGACCGCTGAGTGGGAGCTGGGTTGCTCCCTTCTCCCTGCTAACATCCAGGACACCAATCCGCATGAGTCAGTGAACTGAGCATGTGCTAGTCCCGCTGCCTTTCGGGTGTTCATTTAATCGAAGGCTTTGGCTGAGGACCCGAGTCGTTCTCCTGTCAGGTGTGGGCGCCCAGCCAGTATCCTAGTCCATCCTCTTCGGAGGTTAGGAATTGGTCGATGGCCCTCTTCCCGTAAAATCTAGCCATGGGAGACATGTCTACGGGTTATAAGCTCACAGCTCGATTGGTGTAGAGCACGAGAGTCATGCATTATCTCTGACGACGGGAGGGCACTTGCGGGTGTTCAATGGTTTGCTACTGCCCGCCTCAAACCAGACAGCCCCTGGTCAAATTGGCGCAAACCCGCCAAAACCTACCTGCGTCTGGCTCTGGTCGCAGGTGCTTATCCTACTACGGTCGCAAAACGTTTGTGAATCGTTCCAGTACCTCAAAGACTGCGTGTGACGGCCGTCAAGCAGATCCCAATCTGTCTCTGCAATCACATTCACGAGCTGGATCTGCTCCCCACTGCCTTGTGGGTCAGGCTATTGAGCCAAAGGCTCCGGGTGGAGTCCCTCAAGCAAACCTCCGAAGTACAACGACCACCTCGCGTGCGATTGCCCACCAATGCAATCGTATGCCTGCGCGCAAAGCACTCAGCATAGGGTGCTGGAACATGCGCACACTACTGGACCGGAACTCCAGCGAGCGCCCCAAGCGACGCACTGCACTGGTCGCGATGGAACTGGCGCACTACCACATCGATATTGCAGCGCTCAGTGAAACTCGGCTCGCTGAGCAAGGTAAGTTGCATGAAGCAGGTGCTGGCTACACATTCTACTGAGTAGGCAACGCCACCTCAGCACCACGTGAACATGCGGTAGGATTTGCAATATCCGATCGCCTCCATGGCCAACTGGTGGGTGAACCAACGGGCATCAGCGAGCGACTGATGACTGTTCGCCTACGACTCGGAAGAGGTAAGTTTGCCACTTTCATAAGCACGTACGGTCTGCCCATGTGTTATCCTGATGACACGCATGATCAATTCTACACTCGGCTATCCTTCGTGATATGGTCTGTGCCGAGGAGCGACCGACTATTTCTGCTGGGTGATTTCTAAGCGCGCGTTGGGCGTGATGCATCGGTGTGGACAGATGTTATCGGGTCGCATGGCATTGGTTCAGCGAATGCGAACGGTGACAGGCTGCTCTCACTGTATGCCACTCACGGCCTGACGATCACGAACACTCAGTTTGCACTGAGTGCGAGTGATATAGCAACTTGGACACACCCACGGAGTGGTCACGCTCACCTGCTCGACTATGTCATCGTACGTCAGCGTGATATGCGTGAAGTGCGCATGACACGTGTACTGCGTGGAGCTGAGTGTGGCACTGATCACAAATTGGTGCGGACCAAACTGTACATATATTTTCGTGAATCTATGTATTGCACTCCCGCCGTGAATCGGCGTAAATTTATCATTCTCTCTCTCGGTACTGTGGCAAAACGTACTGAGCTGGAGAAGGCGATGGCTACACGCCTGCGTGATGTGGACTGCATAGCCACAGTGGGCGACCTGTGGAACCACATTCGCGAACAGGTGACAGCTGCTGCCGAGGAGACCATCGGACACACAAACTGTAAGCAGCCTGATTGGTTTGATGACAACAATGCGACGATTGGTGCATTGGTGTCGGGGAAGAATGCAGCATTTGCTGCACATGTGGCAGACCCCAGTGACTTGGGGAAGAGTAGTCAGTTTCGCAAACTTCGACGGCGACTGACTCGAGAGCTCCGTCGCATCAAAAATGCATGGTGGAGTGAGAAGGCGAAGCAGATGGAATGCTGCGTCGAACGCCGCCAATACAAGGAATTCTTTGACTCCTTGAAGGCGGTATATGGACCAAGATTGGAGCCGCTGAGGACGCTGATCGATGGTAGTTCAGGCGCTACCTGCACACAGACTGCAGGCCTAATGCAGATCTGGCGGAAACACTTCGACTGTCTCTTGAACAACCGTTCAGAGATCGACTGCCTTACACTGAAAGGCCTCAAGCAGCACGATGTGAAGACGAGTCTGGAGAACACGCCGACACTAGATGAGACGCAGAGAGCACTTGCTCAGCTGCGAAACGGCAAGTGTGCTGGGGCCGGCGGGATCCCGCCTGAAGTATTGAAACACGGCAGACCCGCGTTGTTGACGGCGCTGCACCACTTGGTGCAACGCGTATGGAGTGAGGAGGAGGTGCCTCCTGAGCTGAAAGATGCCCTTGTGCCCAGAGCATGCGCAGCCCGTTACGAAATAACCTGTTCGTGTCATTAACGGACTTCAAGTGGTAACGCGAGAGTATTCCTAGGTCCATCACAGTTGTCAGGTGTAGCAGTTGACAGTCGAGAGTGTAAGTTCGGCTGTCACCACCCTTCAAAAAACTCACGAATACCAACTTGGATGTGTTGACTGGGAGGCGGACTTCTGCAGACCACATGAAAAGATGGGTTAGGTCTTGTTATAGAAAGCCGCAGTCGTGGGGTGTGCTTATCACTCTCCATATCTTCAGGTCGTCTGCAAACCAAGCACACGGCGACCGAAGAGACTGAGGTAGGTTGTTGAAACAAATCAGGAACAATGTAGGCCCCAGCACCGTGCCTTGGGGTACACCACTGGTCGAAGGATACCAATCGGTCAGGTGGCTATCGACTTGTATCTTCCACTTCCATTCAACGAGAAAGTCCTGAATCCACTGGTGCAGAGATCCACCAACACCACACACTCAGCTTTAGAAGGACCTCATGGTCGAACGCGTTGCTGAAATCGATGTAGATCACGTCGAAAGACCTCTTGATTCCTTGTCTGCATCTGTTCATGACTCGCCACGAGAAGGTTGGTGATGCGTGAACGACCTGGCGTGAAATCGTGCTATGCGAGCGTCAGATCTTCTGACTGGAACAGCTGGAGCAAACGTTTGTTCATAATCGTCGCTGCAAGCTTGGCCAGAATAGGTGTCAAACAAATAGGCCTGTAGTGGTCTGCCTTGCTGAGGTCACTGCCTTTCGGAATCGGTCTTAGCACAGAGCATTTCCAATCAATCGGCAATGTACCTTCGGACAGAAACCAGTTGAACAGACCAGTTACGGTAGGCGAGAAGGCTGATAAGGATTTGAGAATCAGGGAGCAGAGCCCATCAGGCTTGGTACCAACAAGATTGTCGAGTAGGTGACGCACCTCTCCCTTATCACAATCCAGACTGTCGAGTTCGGTAAGGGTGGTGCACGCCGAACTCGG